AGATCGTGACCCCGCTATCTGATGTAAATGTGCAGAGCGCTGATTGGTGTTTGATTAATCCCTAACCTTGTAATCAAGGCACCTCCAATCCTGCCTCTCCTTCACTGCCCTTGAGTGTGAAGCATGCTCCGATGGCCCTGCCCTCGGGGCTCAGGGTGGAGCTCCACCTGCTGTCTTTGGGATCTGCTCTGGAAGGTCAGTGGGCACACTTCTGGGTGGGTCATGGAGCTGCAGCCTTGGGCAGGGTACGTGGCCCTTGCCCTCCCTTTGGCTGTGTCAGCCATAGTTCCCTGCTACTCTTGGAGCCAGGCCGGGCTGCATCAGGAGCCAGTCTCCTGTGGAGGTGTGGAGGGAGAGCTCCCCGTGGGTGAGAGGGACTTGGCTTGTCCTGACTGGAGAGCTCTGCTAGGGAGGTAGATCAGGACTTGGTAACACCTGAGCAAGGGACGTCCCTCCCAAGGGACCCTAGATGACAGATAGTGTGTACAATGACAGGGATGCAATAGCATACAGAAGTGCCACACCCACTTCCTTCTGCCTTGTTCTTTTCTCCCATCAAAACTCTATCAGGGCTCAAAGTTTGGATCATTTCAGTGAGCACTGACTGTCCTCAAGGTGGCTCCAGGGCTCTGGAGGTGACACGAAGGAGGAAGAACTGAGGAGGGGAGGTGACTGCAGAGAGTGGCCCTCCAGCTGGCGGCCCAGTCTGTGAGCCTCCTTCCTTCCTAAGCAGCTGGCCTTGGGTATCTCCTTATGGCCATGAAAAGTAGGCTAAGGTACCCCAGCCTCCAAAGTTTGAGGCAAAAGCTTCTGGGGCAAGGCTGCCTGAGGGGCACAGCCCAGGTGAGCAAAGGCCAGGAGAGTGGGACCTGCAGGGAGCGAACAGTCCTGCTTGCTAAGCAGCCCCAGCCACCTTCTGCAAAGACCTGTGTCTCAGAACAACCTGTGGCTAAGCACCTGTAAAATACATGCGACGTTAAAACCAGAGGTATACTGCAAAACTCCCCGGCTGTTAATGGCTGTTAGTCTGACTTGTATTTTATTCTTGTTCATGCCCTTGACACTTCCTCCAAAATCAGTCAAACCCATGGCTCCTGTGGTGTCCCTCCCGACTTTTCCTGTGCATTGCACGGGTGCTGGCTGGCAGCTGTGGGACACACTTTCTCATGCTGCGTCTGACCTCCTGGGACTTGTAAGGTCGCTGCTATGAGCCTCCTTAGCACAAGGAGGCTGGCTTCCACAGGATTGAGTGACTACAAGTTACAAAGCCATGTAGAATCCGCACAAGATGGATGCCAGGTCTCCTGGTTCTGACTCCGTTTCTGCTTCTGCCAGGAGGACACTTGTTTTCTGCCGGTTTCTTTCTTTTTAAATGTATAGATTAGTGAAGGGGCTGATTATTTTTCTCGTGACCACGTGCTACAACCTCCCCGCAGAAGGGACAGCCTGGCCTGCCAGGCAGTGTCACAGCCCTGGTTGCTGACCGCTGGGCTGTAGCTTCTGGACCCTCTACCTGAATGCTGTACGACCTCAGGCAAGCTGCCAGTCCTGCCTGCACTCTGATTCCTCATACACAGCACCCTGACAATCACAGACCCTGTGCAGTAAAGCTGCCTGGGAGACGCATCTGGCACGGGGACATCTGAGGGAGACGCTCAATTCCAGGGCTCTGGGACTGAGGGGTTTGCCAGCCAGCGGGGTCCCCTCAGCCACACCTCACCCCAGTTACACCATTAGCGGGTTAGCAGGTGACAGTGGTGGCACTGTGTGCAGCAGCAGTGACCACCTCGAGAGGCAGAAACACAAGCTGAGTGCCCCTGGGCTTCGGCTGCCTGAGAGCTGCCAAGGGGTCCAGAGAGACTCCAGTGGTGTCCCTAAGACAACATCCCCCGTGACCCTGGGACCCAGCCAGGCCACACCTCCTGCTATGTCCACTTGGGACCATGCTAACACTTGGACCCTGGGGGACACATCACGGCCAGATACAGCACTGCACTAAGACAGATGTCAAAACTTTTTCCTTTTCCTTTTCTTTTAGTGAAAGAAACAGTTTGAAATAGACGTAGAAATAGGAAAAATATTTAGATTGATATATGCAAAATAGTGATTCTTCCTCTTCAAGTTTTTCTATATTTTCTATCTTTAAAAGTTTTGTTTTTTTGGTACCGGGGATCGAACACACAACCTCACACTTGCCAGGCATGCACTTATGCAACTGAGCTAAATCCCCAACCCTATTTAAAAGTTTTAATTGGTAAGATTATTTTAATAACTGTTTAGACATACACATTTCTTGCTTCTGAACTCCACAGACGCTGTGCAGGTATAAGGTGAAAAGTCATAATGAAATCGGAAGAACGGTCCCCGCGAGACGTTCCAGGTCATAAATGTGGGAGTAGCTGTAGAGGCTTTTGGGAGCTACTGTTTTGTATTCTCATCATCTCATTTTTATTTTCCTGAGGATTAAAGCCATAGAGGACTTGGATTTTCCTGTGCTGGAGCAGTCATCAATGGTCACACACAGAAATGCAGTGAACGCGGTGGGCATATTCAGCGCACTGCAAGCTCCCTAGGCTGAATGACCATCACGTTGCTTACCACGGTCTGGAATTCTAAGAACTCTCCCAACAATGCTTCATTCTGAGGCGTGGGCCAGACGGGAACCTGTTCAGAGAGACTTGAAAAGTCTTTTGGCAGAAGCCGAATATGTGGGTGACGCAGAGGCCTGAAGCCAGCATGTTCATCCCCAGACACAGGGTCACCTGCAGAGGACCGTCCCAAGGTTGCCCACTCTCACTAGACAAACGTCAAAGGTGGTTTTCCTGTCCCCAAGAGTTGTGCTGAGAATCAGATGAGGAAACAGAGTCCCAGTGACAAACATCCTCCTGTGAACTTTCTGACTGGATCGCACCGGCTGACTGAGTGGGCGCAATGCATATTTTAAACAGTTAGCAAAAGCCAAGTCACCCAGTCTCTTGGCTCAGGGAGCATCTAGTCGGTACAGGGGCACCCACTACAGAAGATCTGAACTAGTTCTGGAAGAGATCGAGCCCTATAACATGTTCTGGGATGATCATTTAACTTCTGCCCTTCTAACTGCTTTGGCAGTGGAATGAGTGGTGTTGATGGCTAATTACACTGTTACTCACATAGATACAATTCACAGTCATTCCTTTATTCGTGTTTCCAGGCAGCTCTTAAAACAAGGAACCTTGTCATGGTTATTTCATGTCTGCAAGGCTAGGCCCAGAGTTGCCTCAGGTTTCCAGCCTGGGCTATGGACCTAGACTAACTGGGTTTGAGTCCTGGTTCTGCCCCAGAGTTGATTTTGGCGTCAGTGGCTTGACCTCTCTGTCTCTGCTTTTCATCTGTGAAGTGGAGAGGACTGACACTTCCATCTTACACATGCAGGACTTAGTATAAAAACACTCACATAGTGAACTTTTGATAAATACTGACCAGCAACTCATACTCAAAAATACGTGTTGGAAAAGCATTAAGAGGAAGGAGGCGATTGCTCCTAGGAAGCACGCTGTTGGTCCTTTCCCTAGCCCTCCCCGCTCCTCATATCTGCAGTGTCTTCCAGCATGACATTGCAGGGAAGAACCAGAGACATGGCACCACATCTATGTTGTTCCCTGAGCTCTACGGGAGTAAGGCACAGTCTGCAGCTGAAACTCAGCTTCTAAACTTAGCCACACCACCGTCTCCCTGAGGAACACCTGAAGAACTCAAGCTCCCTACAAAAAGAATTTGTAAGTGTCCACCTGCACAAGGACCCACGGCTGACCTGGTCCACAGCAGTTTGATTTTTCAAGCAGCGGTGGGGACGGGAAGGGTGTCCAGCTGCTCTTAGAGCCCTAGAGGCTTCTCCTGCCCTGACAGTGGGCTGGGCGTTCCTGCAAGGCCCTGTGCTGTCCCTCTGCAGGGCCCAGCTGGGGCCCGGGACATTACCCAGGCCCTCAAGGTCACAGTCACAGCCCCACAGGGTTTCTGCCAGCCACGCCCACAGCTTCAGGGCCAAGCCAGCCCTCACCCCAGGCTGCCAGCCATTTTCCCAGAGTTCTGGCTGACAGTGCCATCCCTCTCTCTTTAATCACCACCTATTTTTAGGAGTTTTCACCCCACACACAAGCCCGTGCCCTCCCTTCTGGCCATGCTCATTTGCCAAGGTTGTCATGACAAAGTCCCAAACCCAATGGCTCAACTACAGAAACGAACTTTCCTCTCGGCAAAGACACTAGACGTCTGCGATTGGGCGCTGCCTCCCTCTGAGACCTCTGTCCCTGACTTGTGGGAGGTCATCTCCTCTGGCAGCTTCCCCCAGCCCTGTCACCAACACAGTCACTTTCGGAGACCGTGGCTGTTAGAGTTTCACCATGTGAAAATTGGGGTGAAGGGGTGCAGTTCTTCCCATAATGCCTATAATTGACTCTGCATTCTTAGGATGGGGGAGTAGATTTTTTCAAGAAAGAAATAGAGGAGATGGCTGAGGAAGAAGTTGAGAGTCCTTCTGGGACAGCAGGTCTCCACACTGACCTTACTAAGGTGGCCACTTCTGTGGCTGTTGAAGCATTTAAAGTCACCCTGGAAAACTCAGAAACCCACTGAGCTCCTCTGGTTGGCACTGGGGTGCAGGGCCCTGACCCCCGTCACTCCCTGGTCAGTGGTCCCTCCTGACAAGTGCAGTGTAGAATCTGCTTCCTAGAGGATCCAGGAGTCCGGGCTGCATTGAGGACTTTCCTATAGATGCACAATTCACTGGCATGAGTGACAGGACAAAGACCACCAAAAGCTCTGTGGCTGCGGACAGCTGACTCTGACTGTCACCCGGCCGGGCCCACACCAAGTGTCTGGAATGAGATCCCGCAGTGTGCCACATCTCTCCACTGTGTTGCTTTTTCGAGATGGGCTTGCTAATCACTCTGCTCAGCTGTGACACCCAAGAAAAGCTGAGCGGGTAAAGTTATATGTGGCCACCCTGTGACCTGCGTGCACATAGCAGGTCAATAAAACTCGGGCAGAATGACAGTGACAGCTGCCTTGTGGCATTCAGAGGGAATTGAGCAGTTAGCTCTGTTTGGGAGCCTCAGGGACCCGTATATCATTACAAACTGGCTGCACAGAGAAAAGCCACGTAAGACACACTCGGGCCAGCACGATGTGCTTGAACTGTGCGGAGACCCTCTAAGGACACCTCAAGGCCCAGCAGAGCCTCTACCACCAGCCTTCTTCATGCTGTGACCTCCTAGCCACAACTCTGCTGTCTCCTCTGCTGGCCCTGGCTGCAACAGCCTGGCTTTAGCTGCTGGGGCAGGACGAGCTCCCAACCTTGAAGGAAGCAGAGAAGGACGACAGGACAGGCAGACGCGATGGGGGCTGGGAAGTCCAGGGCCAGCACCAAGGACAAGGACCCAAAGAGGATGCTGCTGTCGAAGAGGAAGAAGTTTTCCTCCTGGGATGACACCCTGCTCTCGGGCAAGGACCCGCGGTCCCTGCTGAAGCGAGGCATGTGCCACGTCAGCTTCAGCCTGGTCACCAAAGGGATGACGGATGTCCCCGACTTCCTGTGGGGCTTGGCTGAGGTCCAGAAACTCAACCTGTCCCACAACCAGCTGCGGGTCCTCCCTGCCGAGGTGGGGAGGCTGACCCAGATTGTGGTCCTGAACCTGTGCGGGAACCGACTCAAGAGTCTGCCCCGGGAGATCAGCCGCCTGCAGAGCCTCAAGGTGCTGTTCGCCAACATGAACTGCCTGGCGGAGGTGCCCGCCGAGCTCAGCCTCTGCAGGAGCCTGGAGGTGCTGAGTCTGTCTCACAACTGCCTATCCCAGCTGCCTGCCAGCCTGGCTGATCTCTCCAGGCTCCGGAAGCTGAACCTCAGCCACAACAACTTCATGCACATCCCCATCTGCGTGTTCTCCTTGAAGGAGCTGGATTTCCTGCACGTGGGCTCCAACCGCCTGGAGAACGTGGCGGAGAGCATCCAGTGCCTGGCCAGCCTGCAGATCTTTATCGCGGAGAACAACAACATCCACTCCTTCCCCAGGTCACTGTGCCTCGTCTCCAGCCTGGAACTGCTGAACCTGAACAACAACGACATCCAGACCCTGCCCAGCGAGCTCTACCTGCTGCACAGGCTGGGGAGGATCGCGTGGAACCCCATGGACAAGGGGCTCCACATTTCCCGAAACCCACTCTCCAAGCCACTGCCCGAGCTGGTGGAGGGTGGCCTGGAGATGCTCTTCAGCTACTTGAAGGAGAAAAAGCACAACTGATGCGGACACGTGGGCCCTGGACAGGAGCTGGCTCCTCCCCACACCCCCGAACCCTGGGGCTGGGCTGGTCTCCTCTAAGCTGGTGCGCAGGCTCCCAGCGTGAGTCAGGGTTTTGTTTCCGTTGGCTAAATCATCGTTGCTCGTGGGTCTGTGGAAGGCGCTTGCTTTTAACTCTGTGTGTCCTCAGTGATCTTAAGGCTAGCATGTTTGTCTCATTCTAAACAGACGCCGAAGCAGGCTTTTGGCTTTTGCCAAAGAGAACGAGTTGCTCTAACTCTTGTGAGGAGCAGTGGTCGGGTGAGGCATCTGAATTCAATGTTATTTGAGAGTCAGATATTTAATAAGTGTGTATTGTGTGCCCAGGATGGTGTGAAGCATAGGAAGCACCTACCCTTGAATTGGAGGTAACCTATAGACAGCTGGCAATGCAGGGCAAGTTCTATCCCAGTCGCTATGGAGGATCCTTGGGACCAGAGGGCAAGATGGAGCCAAGGATGGAGCCTCTTGCCAAGGACCAAAGGAGGAAGAGCTTTTTTCTTGGGGTTCTGGGGGAACAGCAATAGGAGTTTTTCTTTTTAAAATGCCCACAGGATAAGGATCAGGCTGCTCACTGTGAGTCTGGCGGTCTCAGGAGTGGCATGGTGGTTTCAGATAATAAAGACACACTGACGTTAGCGTGTAGCTTTCACCTTCTTTTCCAGTCGTCTCCTGCCAGGAGTGCCCTCAGTGCACATTTGCTGCAAATACAGCCCATAGCCCAATCTCTGCAGTCTAAATAGACTGCCCAGATTTGCCCTCTTGGAGAAAGCCAATCACAGAGCAGGTACAAAGAGGTAAGGCACAGACAAGCCACACATAGGAAGGGACTCCCCTGACCAGAAACAGCAATCTAGAGAAGGGGGTCTTTGTTGCTTGGCTTTCACATGGGGCATTTTATCAAATGAGTTGAGTGACATTTGAAAGCTCTTTATACAAAAGTCTTTGTTTTGCTTAAGTCTGTTTTGCTTTTGATTTTAAGGGTACGTGGCTGTTAGTTAGAGACCTCAGGCAAGTGGTGGTGGCTCTCATGCACCAAGGTCACTGTTGCAGGGTTAAAGAGCCAGAACATGAAGGCATCAGGAAGGAGGCACAGGACACTGGGCTGGGAACCTGAGAGGAGAAACCAAGGTCCCATTCTTTCCACCAAGCCGCTCAGGGTTTGCTGGAGAAGATAGACCCACAAGCTTTCTACCATGTACAGTAAGTCAGAAGCCTTGCTAACCAGAGAGCAAAGCAAGAACAACACCCTGCGTGGTGTGTGCCAGCCTGTGTGCCAGCCTCAGGAAGGAAAGAACAAGCAAAGCCCGCAGTGCGATGAATCAGCCAAACCCTTCACTCCTGCAGCCAGGGGACCCTCATACCGGCCAGGCCCTGTTTGGAGAGGGGAGCAGTGGGTGGGGGTGACGCTCAGCTCCTCCGAAGAGTCTGGGATTAGGCAGTCGTAGTGTGCAGCTGCCTTCTTATTTTGTTTAAAGCTGCTCCCAGAGGTCCAGGAGTAAGTGATTTTTCCCAACAGATCCCAAAGTCAGTTCTCCCACCCTAAACAGGAGGAGGCTAAATCCTGCCGTCATCATCTGATTCCATGGTTCCATTTGCACATTTGCATGTGGGCTTCTCTGGTGAGCCACTGCACAGGGACCTTCCCAATGCAGCAAGAAGGCCACTAAAGAAGTCACTTCTAAAACCTGCTCCAGCAGCAACTGGAGAGCTGTGTGTCCCCGCCAGGCCCACAAGGCAGCACCCAAATCCTCCCTGGCCCGAGTTAGCTCACCAAGCCCAGACTACTTAAAGCTCGAGGTGGAATCCTCTGGCGACCCTCGACTCAGTGGGATGAGCAGAACCAGACTGGCACGCACGGAGGCTTTGGCAGACGCACACGCAGCTGTCAGACACACACTGCATGTGCCAGGATTGTGCCGGCACACGCCTGCTGCGGCAGCACCCCGGGCTTTCTGTGTGCCCACCACCTGGCTGCGGGCAGAGATGCGGGCGAGGACGGCAGCTCCGTGCCCTTCCTGCTGAGTGATCATTTCATCCTCTCTCCCGGCCACTGGATCCCTCAGTAACTCTACTCCAGGGACCACACTTTGAAGGTGACCCTGGAGCTTATTATACTTTTCAAAAGAAAAAAGCCAGTACCAGCCCAACTGCCAGCTTCCACGGGTGCTTTTCAAAGCAGAACAGCGAGGCTTCCTTTGGGAACACTCAGCATGGCCAAGTCACAGTGGGGTAGTGGCTGGTTGTGGTGCTTCAGGTGTTGGTTCTCTGTGGCCTGTGAATGTTGCTTTTTAATGATAAAGGAAAGTGCTGAGCAACATCCTATTAAACTGCTTAGTTATTCAAAGCGCTGATATGGAAGGAATTTGATGCCACCTTCAGTGTCTCTGCTGTCAGGTTCTCCAGTTTGCTGACAGTCTGGAAAGACCACTTGCTTATCTTCCATCCTTTGGATGCCGCCACATGCAAGTGATTTCCAGGTATCCCAGAGCTCCTGGAATCAAAGCTCAGTGGATGGCTAGCTTGGCCCTGGAGTGTATTTAGTCAAAGAATCCGAGCTAATTGGGTGCTTGAATTGTGGGGGTCTGTGATGAGATTGTGGTTTTCCTGTTGCTCAGCACTCCATGCAGAGCGATGTTGGTAGGAGTTCAGAAATACCTTTTGAAGCAGTTGTGGCTCATAAACACATAAGCAAAAAAAAAAAAATTCCTATGTTGCTAAGAAGAGTAAAAAGACACATCTGTTCAAGGAATAATACTGCTAAGGGCATCACACTGCTGCATGCTAGAAAGAGAAATGCGGTTCTTACCAAGCTTGTTGGCTTGACACACGGTTAACAGGAGAATAGTCTCCCTTTTTGGGTGCAGGGTAGTGGACCGCCTTTCTGGCAGCCTAAGACAGAGTGACTTCACTCTCAGTGCCTGGAAGTCACAGTGAAGTCAGACAAGAGATGACAGAGGGCAGCAGCACTGTTAACAGGAATACACTGAAGGGAACGCTCCTCTTTGGGTTACTGCATTTTGGAAGTCTACCTGCCAGCCCCCAGGCTCCTAGCCAATGTGCATTTTGATGGCCAAGCTGGGGGGCCAGGGGAGACTAGTGGCTGTGGGCCAAGGCACTGGACGCACGTTCAGGTATCAGCAGTCTGAGATTCTGGGGTCGGGTGAGGCATGGGCTGGGCTAGGTGGTCTCTTCTGTCACATGCACAGGCTTGGGGGGCTGGTCCCTGGTCTGCATGGAGCCACTGACGTTCTGTTTGAACACAAATTTGGAAAATAACCTGAAAGAGAAACAGGCATGGCAGCAAAAATTCAAGCTGCTAGCTTAAGCAGATATGGAGACAATAAATATGGAATTATTCCTTTTGAGAATGCACTTTGCCTTTTATTATCACAATATCTATTGTACACTTTGGATCTTTAATTTACTCTTTCTGGTTTTCATTTTTACACTAGGGAGACAATATGATATTTACAGCTGTGAGTTTGACTTATTTCACTGTGAGTATGGTTTCAAGTTGCCTCCATTTACCTATAAAAGCCTCAAGATTGTCCTTCTTTAGAGCTGAGTAATATTCCATTGCATAAAAAAAAGAAAAAAGAAAAGATCTGTACTAATATTGTTTGGACAAGATCTTGTATCTTTTACTCTGAATAACTAGTAAGAAGAAAATAATATGCAACATATTATTATAACTATCCTAATAAACTCTTTTTAAACTCTGAAAAAATGCAGAATTCTGCTATCTATACCTACTACATCCATGTCCAAGTGCCCTCTAATTTCTGATTCCAGGAATTATTTTCAGCATTTTATAACATATGTTTGAGAAACATGAAATCCTCAGCCTAGATTTAACATGCAAATACGTCACAGTATCTCTGATATAACTTTTTAATTGTGATTAATCCAGGAACACCAAAACTCAATTCTTTTATACAGTTTAAGAAAACAAAATAGATTCTGAAGCACACAAAAGCTGTTACAAGTAATAATGGGAACGGCTGTGACCTTATAAAGATAAAGCATTTTACAAGTGTTCTTTTTAAATCATGTGTCAAGTTACATGTTGCACCCACCGCGTTACTAATGACAAAACGCATTTGGAAGGGAAAGGAGGGAGGCACAGCGGTAACCGGGGAGGCGGCTCCATCAGCAAGTGTAACTGAGCATGATTAGCATGAAGCTTGGGTGCAGATTTTCAGCCCTGTCACAGGAAACAACTTGAAAGGAGCGAGCTTGTTTCCTATTGCTTCTCTGCTGGCCTTTTATTTTAGCACAGAACAGAAAACAAAAGGCCAACTGGGGTGGTATCAGAGTAACTCCTGGGACTCGTGAGAGACGCGTGTGTTACCAGCAGAACAGGAGCCCCTGCTTTGACCTCGGGAGCCCTGCTCTGTGGTCCCAGGGACTCAAGCTCCCAGAAGTCAGAGCGCTGGGCATGCCACAGTGGGGAGATCCTTGTTCCCGCTGGTCTCCTGATGCCCTCCCACACCCATGCATGCCCAAAGGAAGAGTTTCTACAGGGCGCTGGGGAAAGCTCTAACCTGAGCAGAGCACATGGACTGCTCAGCCCTTGCTGACATCTGTGTGCGCTGGCCTGGGGACACAGGGATGGGACACACACACACTGCTGTTCCCAGGTGCTCCCAGGTCCATGGCAAAGAAGGCAAACAGGAGACAGCTGCCTTGAGAGACAGTAAATAGCATGGATACACTTGGGTGTGAGTACAGAATGGCAGGGAATGCGCCGCTTTATTAGGGCACATTGTTACCATTGTGCTATTTTATGATCAGTTGTTAATTCTTTACAGTGTCTAATTTATAAATAAGTTTTATAATAGATAAGTCTATATAGGAAACTGTAGCACAGCTAGGATTCATTTCTGCCCATGATTTGGAGCATCTACTGGGAGTCCTGGAAGGTGCAACTACTGTAGATCAGGAAAAGGGGGGAAATAAAACAAAAAGAAAGAAGTATTTGCTCTAGAACATTCAGGAGAGGAGCCGAGAAGGCGATGCTTGGACAGAGACCTGCAGCAGAGAGGGTTCAGCCAGGTATCTCAGGAAGAAACATCCCAGGCAGAAGGGTAAGGGTGGGCCTGGCGTGTCTGTGTAGCCCTAAGGGGGCCACGGTGTGAACAGAGCGGGTGGGTTGGGGGGCAGTCAGGAGGCCACGTGGATGCCGTGAGGCTTTGGGTTCTGGGTGAGGAGTGAAGAGGAAGCCACAGAGGTTGGCAGTGGAGAAGAAGCCGCCATCCTAAGCCTTTGGGGACAAGAGCAGCAGCAGAGGGACTGGAGAGCAGTGCACGGCAGCATCCCGGGCAGCTGGTGACGGCCAGACCCAGGGACACATGCTGGGTGGGGCCCCGGGAGCAGCGGCAGGATTCTCAGAGGAGTCTACCCAGAGGCTGAGTCTGAGGTCCAGGAGGGAGCTCCAGATCAGAGGTGAGATTTCAAAAACCATGCAGGGACAGCTCAGAACTAATTATGCCCATTTTGTAGGGTTTGAATAAACATGGTGATTTTTTTCGTGTATGATAGTCGAGTATCATTTAAAATTTTCCCATAATGCTCTGTGAGATATTACTGTGTCTGGATCCCACACCGGTAGTTGTGAAAATCCTTGGAATTGTT